GCTTAGTCAAGAGAAATTTTCCTCATTTTCCCTAAAGTGGAAGAAGAGATGAAAATTTAGCTCAGCTGGTCATTTACACTTTCTTTTTTTTCACATTGGTGAAGGTTGCACTATGGTCTTTTGTAGATTTCTGTTGAAAACCCTACAGACTCGTCTTAAACTTGTGCCTGATATATTTCTTAAAATAAAATGTCTGAATTTGTTGACATCTACCTTTTTCAGCTTTTTTTCCTCTGGGCAGTCTATCAATGTAATTTCTTACACAAAAAAGGCAACTAAAAACCCCAATTACTATCACGTCTAATGTCTTTGAAAAAGATTCAAGAACAAATATATTCTTCACCGCTTTCCTGGACACAACACATATTGAAAAGCTCTATCTAATCCTCTTTTTGAGATCTCAAAGCAACTGGTTTTGAAATACAAACTGAAAGTTCCTCTCTTCTTCCCTTCTTCTATATGATTGTACTACTATTGTGATAGATATGATAAAGTATCTACAAAGTAAATTTTGTTATAATGTCTAATTAATTCTTGTTTTCATCATTAACTCTTCAGTTATTTCTTCTCTGTTCCTCTTTATTCTATCATTAACATGCAAACAGCTAGGATACCTTGCAAACTGACCCATGACTTTCTCTAGTCACTTCTTTAAGCTTGTTTTGAATAATCCCAGGGACAAGACCTACGTTCAAGTTGCCTTATTTAAGGTTATGATTTTTGTTCTTGCCAAATGGTTCTCATTTTAAACTTCTCTCAGGAGAGAGGAGTTACACTTAGGTGGTATCTGACTGATGCTAGACTTGGGCATGAGATGAGAGCCAGTATTATCTTGAATCTTCAGCTTCATTATTCACTGCCACAGAGCCTGACAAGAACTTTTGATTTCCTAGGACAATTCTTAGCATTATTATTCTTTATCCTATGTTAACGATTGGTGCAATCTCTTGTAATTTGGCAAAATTTGACTCGTTGAAGAACCACATCAGCCATAATTTAAGTGTGTTACAGATATTTCCACATCACTTGAGTAGAGAATCAGTAGCCAGCAGCACTTTTTATTTCCTCTTGGTAATAGGGATTTTTTATTCCTGGGCTAGTGTTTGGGGTTTTTGTCAGTTATGAAGTTATTCTTCCTTGTTTCCTGGTCAGCACTCCAGCTTTTAATTTGTCAGAGGACATCAACAGTCACCTTCCTCTCTGCAGTTTTAAGTTTGCTCCTCCAGTACCTGTACTGCTACCAAACAGAAAGCTCTGCTTTAACTTTTTTGTTCCTGAATGCATGCTGTGGATGAAATCCTCGTGAGCATACGAGCTTTGAATCTCTCCTTTTATTGCTCCTCTAATTGCTTCTTAAGAGATTTCCCTGAAGATCTAAGAGAAGTCTTTCCAGATACCACCAGTAGGAAAATATAGGCCAAAGTTCTGGCAAGTCCATTCAAGAATTTCATCACAAGATGTCATCATTGTCTAATTTTAAATAAAGCTATTTAATTATGAGCATATGACATATTTTCTCTCAAATATTTTTCTCTAAGAAAGAGATACTAGGTAGTATAAAAAGCTCTTTATGTTCATGACTGACAGAGTATTTGTGCTTGAGTTTTAGATACTTTTGCTTTTATTAGAAGTTCATGAAAACACTGAAGTATAACATGAAGTACAGGACTAAACAAACACTAAAATGAAGGACCCATGGGAAGCTACATTTACTCTTTGGTACTACAAGGAATTTTGCTACTTGCTAAAAAGTTATTAGACAAGTGAAGTTGCCTGAATACAGTGCTCAGTAATCTATATGCTTACAGTTCAACAGTAGAAGTTTCTTTGACTTGCACACTCTGAACAGTAAAAATATTATTTTAGAGCTTCACTGGATAAGCTTTTTCCACATATATTCAAGTAAAAACTAAAACCCCTCATATTTATACATAAACTGATGAAGTATTTCAAAATTATATTATGTGATACCATACTACTTAATTTTTATTCCTAAGCATAGGTCAGATCTTTACCTTTGGTTGTGCTATGTTTAAGGAGAAGCCTGCTAGCAGTGAGAAGTAAGAAATCCTTATTTCCTCCTAGGTAACCTATTACTTTGTAATTACTTAAATAATAAAAAATAATGTACCTGAAGTATAATATGTTTGATGCGTATAATGCATTTAATTCAATAACAGTTCCCTTTGCTTTGCTGCCTAAATTGTGTTTGACTGAATCTGGAAATAGCCAAAAGGAATGAAAAGTGGAAGACATACATGTGAAGCTGCATATATCCAGGTCTATAGTAGAAAGACATGTCTTTATTGCAAACTGTATGTAAAGCAAAACTGATACAATTTAAGGAAAGATAGCTCTATTTCGATTGATCATAGCTCGATGTCTTAATTTAGAGCGAAATCAAGCTAAAGACCATTAAAGAGTTGACAGGAAAGAAAAAAAATGTTCATGTTGGGAAAGCTGCACACTGAATAGACAGTAAGTAAGGATTCAATGTCCACTCTGGGAAAACAAGCAAAGAAAAGAATAGATCCTCTGCCATTTGCAAGAGTTGAAACACCAAATGCCATATTTCTCTGTCAAGAAAAAATAAGGTGTGCAGTAGAAGTGCAAAATGGCTGATGACAAGAGTTCTGAGGTATTTTCTGATCTTAAAAAAGTAGAAAAGGAAAAGTAGTGGTCAGTCATGGGAACAGATAGAATAGTATTTACACATCACTAAAATATGGAATTTTTCAAACTGTTGCTATTGTCTCCATTTCATGGCTTTTACTTGCTCTGCAGCTTCTTACCCTACTGTGGGAGCCCAGGGCACCAGGAATATTCCTCTGACCCTCAGGGGGGCACTGACTTTGACCCTCATTCACGGAGAAAGTCTCCTAGTCTTCAAGATAGACTAGAATCCACAAAAGTGTGAAATAGATTATAGTGAGTAGTGTAGGTGCATCACTTGGTGAGAAATTCAGGTTCTGGGATTTTTAGTATGTTGTGGATGGAAGCAATATGGAGGGCACAGGGTGTCATGCTGGGTTTCTTCTTCATGCTTCTTCTTCTTTCTTCTTCATGGCTTTGGGTGGCATTTTGTAATTGGGCAGAAAAGTCTGCATTGCGGGCTCTTTCGGATCAGTTATTGGGTAAAAAGGGAAAATAACCTAGGTGTCCTTTCTTATTGGATAGTTTAGTCTTAAAAGACCTTGTAACAAAAGATTGGTAGCCATTTTGTGCCTTCTAATGAAAAGCTGCCTAACTCAGAGTAGTGAGATTGTTTTACTGATAAGATATAATAAACACTTGAGTCTGAACATGAACTACTGTCTCAGGTGCCTTCAATCCAGACCCAGAGAAACCAACAGCTGAACACCCCACCCCGCCTAGCTGATTTTGCCTTTGGTGCCTGTGTGCTGCTGTGGGAAGCTGACCCTGGCTGGACGCCAGGTGCCCAGCAAGCCACTCCATCACTGCCCTGAGCATGGGCATAGAAGACAATAAAACAGAAAAAAAACCCCTTGGGTCAAGATAAAGGCAGTTCAATACAGCAAAAGAAAAGGTCTGTGTGAAACCAAAGGAAAACAAAAGAGTTATTCTCTACTTCCTATTAGCTGGTGCTATCCAGCTTCCCGCTCCTTTTTCTTAGCTTTTATTGCAGTACAGCCCTGTATGGTATGGAAAATTCCTTTGCAGCTCGAGCCAGCTGTCCTGGGTATGCCACCTCCCAAGGTCTTGCCCACCCTCTCCCCACTGGTGTGGGGGCAATGTTGGAGAGGCAGCCTTGGTGCTGAGCAAGCACCAGGGTGTTTGACAGGTGAACACCCTTCTAGCTACCCATGCAAAGAACTGTGAAGGCTGCCATGGGAAAGATAACTCCATCTCTAGCAGACCCAGTACAACTACCATGATAAAATATAAGACACAGAAAATCCTGAATTATTTATAATATCTTCAGAAATTATTCACTATCTCCTAACGTGGAGTTTGTCTGTGAACAGTTCTGTTTTCCAACATTGCAAGCTGCAGAAAGAACAGATTGCCAGAACAACATGCCTAGCATTTCTCATGATATAGCCCCTTACTCTTTTTAGAAAAAAAATAAGCTGAGTCTGCTTGTTTTATCTGCAATTATATTTGCATTCAAATAAGTTATTTTCTCTTTATCCTAGATCCCCTTTTCACTGCAAGCTGCTGTTAAAATAGCTGTGTCAATTATATTTAATTGATAAGACAGTTTCATTCTGTAAATATGTAATGCTCCGTGAAATGGACAGTTGTTCAAATATATCCTTTTCCAAATTTTAAGCGATAAGGTACATAACATCCTGCCCTATATATAAACCAAATGCAATTTTTAGCAGGGATGTACCAGTACAGCTGAGTAACACAGCTTTGCCTCAGGACTAAATTATTTGGACATGCAAGTCAGTTTTCCCTCCATGAGTTGGGGAGAAGACATAATAAAATGCTTTAAAAATTCTTATCAGCACAGTTGCACAGGTTTATGCTGACAGACCAACAGGCTAAGCATGACTTAGGGTTCTTAGTAGCAGAGGTTTTGAAACTTTCCCATCATTGTCTGTCAGCAACATTTTCAGCCGTGTGCCAAATATTTATTTGAAGCAGCATTATATAATACAATACTTTAAAAAGTGTCAGCAGTTAATGCATTATATATACTCAGAGTTCCATCATTCCAAACAAAACCTCATCTGAAACAGATTGTAAAATACTCCCCTCGAAGAAAGACTTCAATACAAAGACATTAATGGAGTATTTTCTCTCGTAAGATTTCAAAACAACATTAATGACTCCAATATGCTATTTAAAGCAACAGCTCCAGGACACTGGGCCTAATGCATCTCTAAGAGTAAACAACATAGATTCTGCTCATGGTTATTCAAATATCTACAAATGATTTCAACACAGTGGGTTACTTAGCAATGTCTTATCCACAGTTTCCCTACAGACAATTATGCCAAAATTAAACAATAGCTCTTGTTTTTCCTTACTTGTAGTGTGATCTTTCATCTCCCCCAGTCCAGTATTAATTCCAGCATCTATTGAACTCATGATTTTATCAATCTACAAAAGAGAGAACAGTGAAACAATTGAGGGATCCTGTCTTCAGTATTTTATTTTAGATTTTCATGCATAGATTTATTGCATTATTACCCTCATTAGGAAAAAACAATAAAAACTGTAAAAATTCATAAATCAAAGGTAGACAATTAATTTCTCCACTTTGATTTGGAGACTGCAATTTGATTTGCAATTTTGTATATTAGAAAAAACTAAAGCTTGGGACTAGTACTCCTTTTTCCATGGTAGAGTTCCTTACATACTGATGACTTTGGTCATCTAGGTATGACCAGTAGTGGTTTATTTAAGCAGTAATATTAATGAATAAAAAAATATCCTGTATATTCCAAAGTATTTAAAATACACACAATTAGATCAATTGTTCAATTAATATTTCCAGAGAATTTCCTAGCCCCCTTTTCTTTCCATCTGCCCCAAGGGCACTAAATAGGTATGAAACATAGTTGTGTCCCCACATACCACAGAACAAGGTTCTCTGTGAAACAACACTGCACTGATCCCAAAACTTACTCACATGTTTCTAAGGCACATTGAACTTACTAGGTCAAAACCACTGTATCTATTTCATTTTCTGTAAGAACAGGACAAACCAAAAAGTGCATCAAAAGGTTGCTAAGGTGGACTAAGAAGACAGCAAAACTTACTAAGCCTAACATTAGGACTAGTAGGAAAAGCATGCATTAGTCAATGGTGACAGAAGAAAGTCCAGAAATTATGACAGAATCTTCAGATTGAGCGTTCATACTTTATACATAGATATATACATATCTATATGGCACTTTTTTTAAGACCAAACCTTGATGACCATGTAGAAAGGCAAACCTGGACCTGATTCTAATCAGGATTTTATAATAACATATCCAAATTGTAAAGATCAAAACCTGATATCCTTAGTACATCCTCTCCAAGAGAGTACTTCCCTTACAAATATGCCTTAAAATGCCCTATCAAATCAGACACTCAGGTTAGCTTGAAACATTTTCCTAGAAAAATAACCAACAACATAATCAAACAAACTCGGGGTTCTTTCTGCACACAATAGCACCCTGGAGATAGATGAATTTCCCCACTGTAGTAGTTTCAAACAGAAATGCTCACTTCTCTGTAGGAGCAGTAAAATCCAAACATTTCCCACTCTTAATTTACCTCAATGAGATGGGTACTTCTGTGTCTAGGAAGAACCATTTACATTCTTGAAATTCGGCACAGGAAAAAGAATTAAACATAAGGTGTCTAAAAATTAATTTCAATTGAATTCTAAACCTAAAATAAAGTCTCTCATATGAGCAAGCATGTGCACTACAAATTCAGTGTGGAAATTTCTCTTAGTAGTCCTGAATTCATTGCTGCTATAAGAGTATTCTCACTTCACACAGCAGCCAGGTATGTGCCAAGCATTTTGTACACAGGCTACACACCAGTGAGAGGATACCATACATAAGGAGGGTTTGTAGAATGCCCAATCAACTGTCCATTGCTGCCATCTTCTCCTGGCTCTTGCTGATGGGCTCTGCCATGGTGGAAATAATTAGCAAATAGGTAAACAATAGGCACAGTTACTAAGGATTTTACCAGCATTATTATTGTCAGCGGTGAGGGCTTTAGTAGACAATAATTTCAGTGCCACAGAAAATTGCAGAATTACTTCTGGTTATTTTCATTCACTAGGGAAACAATAGACTTTATTGAGTGGGCAGCATTTGAACAGAAATGCTTTGCATTTTCTGCCAGCTGTTGAACTCCCATGCAGTACACTGTGACATTTACTCTGAGGTTTGCAGTGTGGAATATTCACTTTTTATTTTGTCTCTGAAACTGAAAATAATAACAGTGTCTTCACAAGATCACAGTACTTAAACAATGAAAAAAAAAACCTTACTTCTTCCCACTCTGATGTGAAGGAAGGTGTTCTCTCTGAATTCCCTTTGGAGCACTGTGGCTTTGGCGTGGGTTCACTCCAATTGCTTCTTGCTTTTTTATCATTTGGTGGATGAGTGATAAGATTAGAATCTGATTTTGAAACATTTTTGCACAAATGCATTTCCAGTAAGGTCTTTGGTAAAGATCGTATTCTGCCCAGCGTGCACGCTCGCTCCACAAATCCCCCAGTGGAAATAACCCATTGTTCACTGATCCTTGGTGCACCAACCAGGGTATGATTTTCTGCTGGTTTATTCTTAGTATGAAATATGGTTCTGTTTACAATTGGTGGCTTTTTTTTCTTAACAGGAGGATCAGAGCTGCTCTCTTTCCGTAGCTGTATCTGCTGTGCTGCGCTCTTGCTCAAAATGCTTTTCTCCAGTGGCCCACTGCACAGGTTTACTTTGCTGTAGAGCTGCAGTGGATTTTCAGGAGGGTCACATGCAGGTGATGATCCATGAAGTAAACCTGCAAACTGCTCAGCGGGGTGTCCTTCAGGAAGCTCACTTTCAGTGGATGTTTCACCCTGGCTACGTTGCTCTGAAATGAGAGAGTAGCTTGTAAACATAAAAGGGTGATAAAATACTGCAAACAAAAAAATCCTTACTCCCCTCAAAATTACTTTTTAATGTTGCTTGGTACATTCTTGTGTAAAGAAACAAAAGACAGCTATGCCATGAACTGATTTATTATTCTCTTAAAAAAAATAAATCTTAAATATGACTATTTTATCCTGACTAAAATATCTGCTGGTAGAAGAACAGCCAACAATGCTCAGATCTATATATAAATTCCATGAAAAAACAAATTTATAAGAAAAAACAGGCCATTGCTATTCCATCAACTTGATGATGTCTCTTTTAATTTGCTATTGAGTTGAAATGTGCACAAATTATATAGTTTAGTATGATCAATTAGGTAGGTAGTTTGTAGGTGGTAAAATACATGAAGAACCATGATTGTCATGAGTATTCTTAGTAATTTTTCTTTTTATAGCCATTATAATAATAGTGAATTTACACTTTGATGCCTTTTTACTGACAGTCTCTAAGGAATAGATGTGAGTGGTGTTTTTATTTTCTGGAACTTTTGAGAATAGTAATAGTAACCATTGGGAAAAAATAACACAAAATCAAGTCTTTTCAAACACAAAAAGCAGCCACAGAAAAATGCACTACTTTGACAAGGTTTAGAGTTGATTATTAAAATTTTATGGCTCTTTTATGGCTTGTTGCTGAAAGACCTAGGAGGGGGAAAAAAAGAAGGCCTGAGCTGCCTCACTAGAAGTGTTGGTGTGGTTAACATTGCTCTATCAACATGGCATTAAGTCAGCATGTTCTAGTCAGAATAACTGTGTCCCTACTAATAGTCACATCTCTATAACTACTTCATTAAAGATAAATAAATTCATCTCATTCCTTCTAGAAGTTGTATGTTCTAGATGGACTCTAACTGTAGGACTGTGAGCACAGCAGTAGCTACCACAATGAATCTAGCGTAGCATCATGACATCATATGCAAAGATATTGAGCACTTTTCTCCCATTAACTAAAATATCTGCTGGCAAAAAAAAACCCCAATCAAAGCTCAAAATATCCATTCTAAAAGAAAGCAATGCTTGACTTTATTAATGAGAGAAGAAAGATTTTGGTGTGTACTTCAAAACTTCATCAACTCTTTTACTAGTCAGCAGCTAAAACTATAAAATTACGGTTTTCTATATATGATAAAATTCCAAGAACCTAAGAAAATATACTTTTCTTCTTTGAGAAACAACCAACTAGAACATACACTTCAGACATTTTGGAACCAAAAGGATGTGAGGTGTCATGGAGAAAGGTTAAATGTAGGATATGACAGAGCTTAAGGCATCAGTAAACCCAGAAAAAATTGGTTTAGGGGAAAAATTCAGGGGAAAAGGAGGACATGGGACATTATCTCTTTGATTTCTGAAAGTTGCTGATTTATACATATGTCTGCAATTTTGAAGGTGAATTCAAAATGAGGAATAAATTATGCAAATAACTACTGGCTTTTCCTTTACGTGAAAAACTCAGTAGCTGAGATTATGCTCCAGATTAAGACACCTCATTTTTCTGAATGAGTAAGAACATGTTAGATCCCACCATAGTCAGAGATCAGATTAATAAAAAGAGTGGAACCTATCATTCCCTGTCCTCTGTTAACCGGGCTAACTACACTGCCAGTGCCTTACAGGAGACAGCATTCAGTTTGTGTCCAGATACCTACATTTATATATCTGTCATGAACTGAATCCTATTTTGATGTTCCAGACAGGTAACTCATAGCTGTGGATTGAACTCACTGAAGAGATAAATGTTTTTGTTAGGACAAACTAAACCAGGAGGGAATAAATCAAGAAAAACAAAATCTTTCAGAACCTGGATTGCAAGAATTTCACTACTAGCTTTGCTGCATCTATGTTATTAAATAGTACTGGCCAACAGCTATGAGGATGTCAAGGAATTACTAAGCTCATGACCTTTAGGTCAAACTTTCCTTCTCAAGACAGAGCTGGTCCATCCAAATAATTCCTGGGAATAGTCTCTGATCTCAGCTAAAACTTGCACTGTGCCTGGGCACTGTCTAGATGGGTCTGTTCAGTATTGGCCAAAAACTGGCAAAACACAAACAGTTTAAGGGTACAGACTGCCAAGAACCAGTGGCATCTCATGTCCTGATTTTGCTAAATTTATTACTTGTAAACAAAGTAAGTTCTTACTGAGAACTCCCATTCCCCTGTGGTCAGTAAATATATGTACTGAGCACCAGAAAGTGTGTGTGTGTCTCTTACTTTCCAGCAGTGTTGCAGTGACAGCATATCAAAACATTAATTCTGGTTGTTTCGATAGTTAATGTGGCAGCAAAGATTCCAAATATATTGTATGAGCCTTTTTCAGCTTGATCTTTCACAACTCTTACTGTACTGTGCACACATAAGTACATATATTCTACTTCAGGTATAACTTTCATCTTTAAAATACCCACACAAATACTTTAAGGAAGTCAGGAAAAATTAAAACAAAGGTTGCTTGTTTACCCATTAATTTTCTTATGTGTTAGCAAGCACTCTATTTCACTTTTTATATGATCACTACCTGTTTTCAAAAATATCCTATTTCACTTAATGTTGAGAATGAAGTTTGCTTAATGAAGAAAAAGCTCCTCAACATTTCCATAATATCATAGAACTGTTCAGTTTGGAAAAGGCCTCTAAGATCATCAAGTCCAACTGTTAAACCAGCACTGCCCAGTCTACCACCACCACCAATCCATGTTCCTAAGTGTCATATCTTCACATCTTTTAAATATCTCCAGGGATTTATATAAGAGTGGTCTTATTACATATTTACTGCAAAGAATCTAAATTCTTCTTGGAATATCAAGTTCTTTAACAGTTTCTCAAATTTTTATTATGTCCATTGTCTAAGACATTCACAAATATAAACTCATGTATCCTTCTGAGGTGATATTGTAATGTGATATTATGCTAATTTGAAAAATTAGGCACAAGGATATAATAATGAAAATGCAAAAATGTTTGGGCATCTGATTTGAGATGCCTCAAGATTTTCTTTGTTCAGAGTATTCAACATTTTTAAACACAGAATGTTTTCAAAGCATGGTCACTCTTCATTTCAGTAGATCAAAAAAATCAGACCCTAATATGTCAAATTCATCATTCAAAAACCAAGGAACATGGGTAGTGGCTATTTGGACAACCTTTGTTTTTTGACTGCTTGGGTAATCTTTGGTCTGTCTTGACCAGAGTAAAAAAAGCCCTGGCAGAGACAGGGAAACTCTTATCAGAGACTTTTAGCTTTGTTAATTATGTGGCAAAGTAAGCAAAGACCTTACAGCTATACCTTCTTCACTCTATCATTTTGAGCAATGCAAACCACATCTCTATTAGGCAACAAAAAAGGAGTAAGGGGAAAAAAAAAATCCATTTGGTCATGATGAAGGTTAAGGAGCAAGCAGCATTGCATGCTGCACTGCAGCCCTAAAACAGGTTATGCAGGGTGGTGCCATCTGCACCGCTGGACAGTTTCAAGACCTGGTTAGGAAAAGACATGTCTGATCTCACTATGACAGTCCTGCTCAAAAGAGGAGGATGGACTAGAAATCCTCCAGATAGTCAACAGTTTAATGAAGAAGTTATAATTCAGAATCCTCTGGGTTTTGAACTGATAACTGTTAAGCTAAATGCTCTTTGAATACTGACTTGCATTATTATTTTAGTTTCTTAATGCAGTTAGTATTTAATACTTTTATTTTCAGCAAATAAGGAGAGTACAGAGATGGACTATAGCACTGCTCTAAATAGTACAGTAGCCTATCACTCCCTGTCATGTCCTAAAGAAATCATAGAAGGAAAAAAAATAAGCCATACAACAAATAATCATAAAATAATTTCCTAGAGTACATGTTTCTTTCTTATTCCAAGTCAGTATTTGTTGACCTAAGACCTGAAATGTGAGATGCAAAATAAGCTCTTCAAACTGCACCATTATCTAAAAATGCAGATTCATTGTTCATGGGAATATCCAAGTTCTCCATCTCAAGAACTTAAAGAATGAAAAGCTTTACACAGGATAATAGCACTACTATACCCTTGCTAAACAGGGAACTTTATAAAAAAATTTAAATCCTAGCTTTTAATAATTACCCATCTCTGAGATAGATTTTTTTTTTAAATTGCTGCATATTTCTGTCATGAACTTCAAGAAAAATGATATTGAAATCCATATTTCTCCTGAGGCTTAGTAGCACTGCAAAAATGTGATATTTTATATATTATTTTCTGGTTTTAAACATATAAAAATAATTATTGTTTTGAATATTGCTGTGTATTGAAAAAAAAAAACCCATGCTTTTAAACCATTTATTAATTCTTATTTTTATTTCTTATTATTTCAACCAACTTAACTGGCACTAAGAATTTATATAAGCAACTACATTACATAGGTTTATCCTCAGTGAACAGCCATCTAATAAAGACAGCTTTTTCTTCTCCCAGACATTAGAGTAAGCTTTATGAGAAGGAACTTTAGGAAAGAGGGTGGGGACACAAGAGAACAGGAGAAGTTCAAGCTCTTGGACTCAATCCCAGTGGAGAGAAGCATTCAGCTTATAAGTAATTTTTTTTTTTCTTTTTGCAAGTACATTTATTTTTGTAATTAAAAAAAAGCCATCAGAAAGAGATCTTGCTTCCTTACCAGATACTGCTTTTCTTACCACTTTATCTTGTTACTTGTAAATAGTATCATAAACAGATGTCATTTCTACAGAACTTTAGCATTATTACAAGTGCATGTACAGCTTATCCATCTGAGAGGATTACTTCTGAAAATCACTGTGATACTGCCATATCTGTGTTACAAGGAAAACATTTACATTTGGAACTACAAATAAATTCAGTTGTGCCATAATCTCAAAGCCACGGATACATATTGCTATTATCACCAGTTTATATACAACCAGACTGGTATTTAGGCAGCAGATTGCAATTCAATCAG